CTCGATTTGACTCCTTTGAACCTCCAGCAATTCCCAAAACTTTTCTTCCTCGCTATATCACTTTTTACCAAATTAAGAAGCCATTGAGCACTTCCATAGACGAAATTATATAAACTCCCGATTTCATCATCAGGCCAAAAACTTTTCAGACCACCAACACGTACTACATCACCGATTGCTGGCATATAAACAAACGAAAAAATCTTAAGCAACGATACTTTATACATATAACAGATTAAAATTTATCACCTCAACATCTATTAGACAATTTTGCTTAGCTACTAGATGCACACTGTTTCGTTTGACGAATATTACAAATATACAAAACAATATGGCGACACAACAAAATCTATAATACACTGCAATCATCGAAAACAAGCCAGCTAAAAAATTTAGGAAATTAATGTCCTATCTGACGAATTCGCAGAGGGGGCGTGCCATCGGGCGTATTAAAAAGTTAACACTGGGAAAACAAGGAGACTCGATAGATAGCAGAGATGCTCTACCAGGTAAAGGTCGATTCAGACACATCAGTCCCGTCACAGTCTCGGCGCCGAACCGGTCCTGTTTAGTCACAGAACTATCTGACAGCTGGCAAACTGTTCGTCGCCTGATGAATGTGAATGCCGGCGCCATATTTCTATTAAAGAATATTTTGTATGACGGATTGTTCGGTTCGGCGCCAGGACTGAGACGAGACGTGACTGATGTGTCTGAATCGACCTTAAGTATGTCGAAGATTCCGAGATCCAACATCGAAAATATTGTAATACCCCTGTTATCAGTCTAAAGATCTCTTTTACCGGAAAGTAAAAAGTCATATTGTTTTGAACCTTCTCTCGGAACTCCAAGTGGTATCATTTCCAGCTTTGACTAGAAAGGTCTTCTGATTCGTCAACTCATACTTCCCAAAAACGGGATGTAACAGTCCGGAAGTGAACGAGGGGAAGCATATGTTTCTTATCGTCTACGGTAGCGGTGGTTCTTAATTTAATTTATTTTATTTCCTTCGAATTTTATTCAAAACCACGCTGGGGACTGCGTTTACTACTCCACGTAGTGTGTGATCGCCATTTATATTGCTTCATTGCGTTTCACCACGTTTCTGTTAGTTTTTTCATGCCTCTGCACGATCCACCACACCGATCAATGCGTTCCGTATGCAGCCCACGATAAGAAAGCTATGATTAAAAAAACTTAAGCCAAAAGAATCGATCGTGCTTTTTTTTTGTTCCCTGGGCCCATTTGATCCAAGATCTTAATTATCACTGACGCTTATGATGTTTGCTGCCGATTGTTGTTTCCTACACACCGTCTATAATTTTTTGTACAAGTTTGTAAAGGTCTTTGGCTTGATGTGTCCTAAATATATTAGGGTCTCATCTTGGTTGCACGTATAGTTTTTGTCTTTTGTGGTCCAGCGCCTCTCAATCGCATAATACATGTTTCACAGTTTCTGGAGTCTGCAGTCAAGATCTCCACTGTAAATGCCTATTTTATTCATGTTACTGGTGTTTGTACGGTCCACATTCTTGTTATTGTTCTCAGTTTATTCCTGTTATATGAGCAGTTCATCTGTTCTTTTGGTACATGGCGTACCAATGAAGATTTCCCATGTGTTTCCCAATATCGCCCATAACATTCTCGAATTTAGTATTTTACTGCCCTTCGGACTGCAGCCTTTGGTGTTCCTAGGGTCAGAGCTGGTCGTTTAGTTCGTTCGATACACTTTTAGCAAGATGATCTGCTTTTTCGTTGCCTTCGATGCCCTGCTACCCAGACAAGCTCAACTTTGTTCCGGTCTCCCAGTTCATTCAGTTTTCTGATGCAGTTCCACACCAGTCTAGACGTTACTTCCTGAGATGCCAGTGCTGCTTGACTATCTAACAATACATGGATCTACTCTTTTTCAAAAGCTCTCCCGTTATTTCCTCTTGCACATTGCAGATTAAATCTGTGATAAAAAAAACGGTATAATTCTTCCCCAAGGCAAAAGTTTCGCTAAGTCTTAGGTTTTTCGAATATATTCCTACCTCCAGACGTTCCTCTTACCAAATAAGTACAGAAACTATAATTTACTAACAAGTATCCATGAGTTGTTAATATCCACGAGAAAGTATTCACCCGCGAAGAAAAATGAGCAAGTAAGGCAACATTATTATTATTTTTCTTCTTTTGACATCATAACCCTGGATGGGTCTTTGCTTGGCTTTGTCCTTCCATTCAGATCTCTCTTATGCCCTTTTGCTCCATTGTCTTATATTCATGGGTTTCAGGTCATCTTCCCCGTCATCCAACCATCTCGTTCTGGGCCTTCCTACCGGCTTCCACGGTAACATTTTCTTTGTCGTTTTACAGTCTTTGACTTTTCACAAATCTTACAAAGGCATACCCTTCATTCATGTGCCGTCTTCCCATTTTTTCGTCATTACTCAGGTTTCACAACCATAGGTTACTACGGGTCTAATCAAAGTTCAGTAGATAGTCATTTTGGTTCTTTTGTCTAATAATTTCGATGTCATCAATCTTTTATTAGCATAGTATGTACGATTTCCACTGGAAATACATATTGCTGTATTATTTCCATCTCAGGTATTCTTTTGATGCTCATGTACTTAGTTTTTGTTTCGGTTATTTTAAGCCCTCTTTTTTGTGCTTCAGGATCAATTTTCTTGAACGTTTTCATTAGTCGTGTCTTGCGACATTGTAGTATCTTCTACTAATAATGGCGACATCGCATATGCAGTAATTTGAACTATTTGGGTGTTGATATGGCCGATTACATTGGTTTTTCTGATGACTGCTTCAAGAACTAGGTTGAATAGCATGGTTGAAAGTGCGTCTCCCTGTCTCACCTCTGTTGATGTCAAACAAGGGAGAGTTCTCCATCTGCTCTAACTGCGGCATTTGAACCCTACAACGTCATTTTTATGAGGCTGACGTGTTTTTTTGGTACACCTAGATTTCGGAGGTCTTCCAGCATTTTGTCTCTCTTCGCACTATCAAAGCTTGTTTAAAGTCTATATACATATTATATAGTTTCTATGTCGTATTCATAAGCTTTCTCTTTTAAGGCAACAGTATTATACTTCGTTCATTCTCAAGATAATCACAAGCTGCTAATTGGGGGTTTTTATTTGACATACACCTTAACCTTGAGTGACGATTATATTTATTTTACTATCTGCATAGTATAATTTATTTCCACGGCAAATTTTAACAAGGCAGCCCTCAGTAATCGGCAGCTCCTCAATGAACAAAGACTAAGAAATATTTGGATCAACCGTCAAAAAGAAGAAAATGACAATTTGGCATGTAAAAAGAGTATATGTAAGCCGAAAGATAATGTCATCACTAATAAAAGTGAACATATTTAAAATTAAAGAAATGTGGGTAAATGTAGGACATTGTGTGATCAATCAAAGTTGGTTTTATTGAAAAGCATCTAAACAATAAATATATGAAGAGTTGATGTCAAATCCAGAGCATTAAATTGTTTGTTCGCCAAGATCCAAATAGTTTTGACATGTCTCCAACTAAACATATACAAATTAAACAAGTATTAGATCTCTAGCAACCGATCACTGACTAAACTCTTATGAACTTAGCGAACAAACTTTCTATAATACGATTATTAATTTCAAAACCCTGTAGTTGTTTTATTAACACCGTACATTATAATAAATACAAATCAAATACATAAAAAGGATAAATAATATTATTAACAATGTCAAAGAATATAGAAAAATTTGATCTGAACGTAATAAAAATATTTAATATATTCCCAGGTGTTCTCAGATCTCCAGTGTATTATGGTACAACCTTTTATTCAAAATCAATCGAGACACTAGAACACATCTAAGAGTAACTGTTAGTCCAGATGAGGAAATTTTGTATACAACACGACAAATAATTTTTAGTTTTGTTTGTTGCATGGATGATAACATTAGCGTTCTTGCCCTCGAACCAATCTGTCCTCGATAGTTTTCACAAATATAATAAAACATTTGACAGCAACCAATTTTTATAAATCAGAAAATACTGTTTCTATGTGGCTGAGCAGACTCTTACGCCTGACTTTTGTTCCTCGCGCCAAGAGGCAAAGGATACGCATCAGTTGCAGACTGGTCGCAAGAACCGGTATCGGGTACACGTATGGACATCCGTTACAAGCTAAACAATACTGTGAGTTCAATAAAAAAAAAAAACAACCCAGTTGTCCGCCGGATCTACGTCCGGTTGATGAGCCGGGGTTCTGTCCGGTTGCCAGTGCTTTATTTGACACAATGTGATCTTGTTGTTAATGCCATTTGAACCAAATACCGTTACCGAACCAGATTAGTTAGAACACCGTCCCAAACGGACGTTTTTGCACCGGATTTTTACCGGATCGTTAACAAGAGGTAGCAATAATGATGAACTAGACACTAGACAAATAAAAATATCGATGCTATACATATTTCGATAAAAATTGAACAAACAGTGCCACCACAATTGTAAAAAAGTTGCTTTTGTGATAGAGATGTCTGCTGTTGAACACCCCAAACAATCCAGACCTTTCACCATGTGATTAGCGCATATCTGGAACTGTAAAAATATAAGAGCTGGAGCACCATTTGACTACGATGATCAAGTGGAGCAAGGAATGTACAAAGTAAAATAAACAGAAAAGTATAAGGCAGCTATTACAAGAATACTACAAACAAAAACCAAATGCAACAAAAACCATTGACCTGGTAGCTGAAATGATCTTCAAATCAAAAAAATTAAATTTTACCTCATCTGAACCACCTGTTACTATCAGAATAGCCCAGTAAAAACCTAATAAAATATTCTAATAATATATACAAATTGTCCTTTTATATTTTTTATATAAAAAAGTTGGGCAAGATTTATTTATATTCAATAACTTATTGCACTGCCATAGACAAAATGTGACTGATATATTACAAGGTAGATTCGAAAGGTCATATATTCGAAAGAATGAACTAACTAAACAGTTAGTTCCTAACAGCCGGTTCTTTTTGCCGCGCCAGATGATCGTCATAACCATCACCATCATCTGAAATGTAAATAAGAGTCCATTTTAGTTCAGTCAATATAGATTTATAAGGCGTATTGTTCGTTGCAAGATATTTCGGATTTAATCTTCTAGGTATAGTTGTATACTGGGTCGGACTTACATACTGATACATTTTATCAAAATCACGACAATCTCACAAAGTAACAGAAAAATACATATAAGTAATACTTTTATATTAAAATATTGTTACGAACATGCGATAGACGTGGTCCATGTGACGATTGCATCTCTAAGGTCATCGAGAACTTTGCACAAATGTATCGAGCGCATGATAGGATCGACCCGTCTAACCACGAATTAGAGTGGACTACACCAGATGATTCTAGAACAGTACTTTTGATATCTATACGTAATGATGTTATGAGTTGGGTTGTTAAGATATTACCGAACTGTAAACTTATAAATAAATATATTTATATAAATTCGAACCGCTAGTTTTATTTATTCTCGCTACAGTTGGTGTCCGGTATGAGGATAATTATTTATGTAAAACATAAATGCAGCAGTGACGTTTGAAAAAGACTTTTGAACATTTGAAAAGTATTGTTGGTCAGGAACACCTGCTTAGGTCGGTAGTGATCTTTTTAAGAAAGAACATTTAAAAAAAAAGTACGTGTGTACCTAACCAAAGATGCTGCTAGTAGAACGTTCAGTAAAATAGTTGCGTGAGCAACTAGAAGAACGCGATGAAGACTGCAGCGGGTCCAAGAAGATACTCCAAGAACGACTGAAGACTGTTCTCAACAAGAATGGAGAAGACCCAGTGACATTCCAGTTCCAGTCAGCAGAAGAAGCAGTTTTAACAAAAATAAAAAACGTGTCGCAAATGATTGAAGAAACTTCTTATGGGTTTTTTTTATTATTTCAGCATTTATTTAACTTTGTATCGAGATCGAGAGAACACCCTAATATGGGTTTTTTTTATTATTTCAGCATTTATTTAACTTTGTATCGAGACCTGAAGATGCTTTGCATATTGTAGAAAGCGAAACCGGTCGTCTGAATAGTTAAATTAAATTGATTGTGAGTAAGTTTTATTTATTATTTCTTTACCTATTTGAAATGGACTCACACAAGCAACACATTCATGATTTAAATGATGAAAGATTCGATAAAACGTCTCAAATGATTAAAGAAGTAAAAACATTCGATCAGATACAGAAAAATAAAAACAACGTAGAAGAGAAGATCAAACAATTAGAGACCATGATAATTAACACGAAAGTGCTACTACTTCTTAATACAGTAGCTTTAGATCCGGTAGTGAAAGAAGAATTACTTAGAGACGACATTTGATGGAAAGTCCTCTGGGTCCATATACCTTAGACAATTTGAAGCTATTGCGACAGCCAATCAATGGACAGAAGAAGAAAAGGCTGTTTCCTTGACTGCTGCTTTACGAGGTGATGCTGCAGATATCCTAAGATCGATTTCTAAGGAAATCCACAAGGAAAACAATTCCTGTAGCTGGCTGTGTACCACGTATCACAAAAAAAGAGTTAGTTAAATCATGAATGTGTTGCTTGTGTGAGTCCATATCAAATAGGTAAAGAAATAATAATAAGACTTACTCACAATCAATTTAATTTAACAATCAGACGACCGGTTTCGCTTTCTACAATTTGCAAAGCATCTTCAGGTCTCGATACAAAGTTAAACTAATGCTGCAATAAAATAAACCCAATTAGGGTGGTGTCTAATAAAGATAAAGTAAACAAATAAGTTAGTTCATACAAATTACAGTAATTATGCCAATATTACATGTCTGTGGTTTTCAAAATGAATAAATTTGAATATATAAAAGGTATTAACAGACAAGGTAAGACCCACAATTGGTATAAAGTAGTAATATTATATTGTAATAAATTAATAAATGAGCAGATAAATAAAACAAAACAAAACAAACATTACTTACATGCCGGTACTCTATTAATAGAGTACCGGCATGTATATAGTAATATGTAATATGTATATAGTAATAAGACTGATTTCTAAGGGTCAAGAAAAATATTACCAGACCTTGTTTACTTGACTAGACAAACGTTACGGAGATGCCCATCTACAACAAGTCTACGAAGTACAAATAAGAAGTAGAATCCAACGAGCAAGTGAGAGTTTGCAAGAATTTTAAGCAGATGTTGCTCGTATAGCGCTGTTGGCTTATCCAGAGGTACCAGACAACATTTTTGAAGAAATTGCTGTAGATACCTTCTACAGAAAGTTTTACGACTAGCAAGATCGAAAGTTTTAGATGAAGCGCTCACCATTGTTTTGGAGCACGAAACAGCTAGTCAAGCTTCACGGGGCTATCGAGTACGAACTTCTGAAGAGAGTGACGAACGAAACGATAAACGTCTAGAGGAAATCGTACGGAAAGTAACGGAAAATGGTAACAACATAGGTCACATTCGCCGCAAATTGCAAGAAAATAACACAACAGTCATAAAGCTAGAACAGATCGAACTGATCGAACACAAAAGTCATTAAATAAACATTATCCTTTTACCTGAATAAAATTCCAAGAAATTTTCTAATCTCTTATAAACACTGGCTTTACGTATCTAGAAATTTGTAATTCTGAATTCCAAGTACAAATGCACTTAACTGATTAAAATCAAAAAAGGCAGCAAATATTTGATTTCACGCAAATAAATCCTATGTATCTGTTGATACGTATTTCGACCTAATAGGTCTCATCAGAACAGCATTTATAGGAGTTCTCAACGTGAAAAATCAATATTTTCTGCCTTTTAAGAAGCAACAATAACATGGCTTCAATACGGACGCGCTAGCGACATCTAATTACAAAATCCGTAAAATAGTTTCGAAACACAATTCAGATTTCTGCTTATAATCTGAGCCTTCTAAAAATTGCAAGGCAAACAGACGTTGATAAAAGATGTTAAAAGGGACATGGGGAATCTAAAATTTGCATTTCACGACATGTCTTTTACAACTAAGCAGAAATCCTTAGCAAATTGTGCTTCTAGTACTCACACACACACACAGAATAAATCCGAATAAAATGAAAATTGAAACTATTTTACGGATTTTTTAACTGATTAACTGAATTCTGATCCTGAATTGTGTTTCGAAACTATTTTACGGATTTTTTAACTGATTAACTTTAAATAGGTACACAAAATTATGTTTAACATTTTATTTACTAAACGTTAACAACTCAAAACTGAAATACGTACCTGGCTACACCTACTTTGTATCATTTAGTAAAGTACCTTTAAACTTTGGATAGAATTTAAAATTGAACCTAATATAACGAATGACTAAGGGTGACTATTCGTTACAGCATTCAGGGAGTACAATCATTTTGTGCTTGATATCGGCCCAGTATCTTAATCTGGGGAATTCCATCCGAATTATTTTGCAACGGATAATATGTCTATTTTGACTGGACTGTATAATTAAAAATGCTTACCATCGTCGTTCTCCTCTAACTGGACATCATTTTGATCTTTGTAATCCCCCTGGTCCTCCTGATTCTTCTTGTCTTTATCGTGCGGCGCGCCTAACGCGTCTATATGCTTCTTATCGAAGTTGGGTTTATCGACCTGCTTGAAGTTATCGTTGTTGTCGAATTGTAGTCCGTCGTGGAACAACGGAGCATCGAATACTTCGTGGGCGACGTTTTCTTTTTCAATTTCGTCTTTCGCTGAAATATAGGAACAAGAAGTAAGCATTTAAGAAGCAAATATTTACAAACTGTCGAAAAATTACATTCTACTATGAATTAAATTGATTTAACTTGTGTCTATCAATCCAGTCGTAGGCCTGTTCATAGATAAATTTACCTAGATTGGTAACAGAGATAGCCAAGGCCAAATCATGTTCGGATTTGGCGCCCATTCGTATGGTGGCGCTGCTATTCTCTTTCCTGCGCGGAGGGAGTGTGCTGTGGAAAATTCAAAGTTGAGTTTAGACAAATACGGCGCCATATTTGTATTTGTTTTATCTGTTATAATTTATTTTATAATTTAAAATTTTTTATATCAGTGGTGCAAAAAGGTACAATTTTAGACGATTTTTTATTATGGACTCGAACACATTACATGGAATAACAATGTAGAAACGAAGAACTGAACAAAAAAGATGTGTTTCAGATTGCATAGATACTACTGGCAAACAATATAGTTTTTCTTATATGGATATGTTTGATAAATGGGTGAATGTTGTTAAGAGCCCTAATTATAGAATGCTGCAACAGAAACTATTTATAACAATTTTCGTGTATGCGCTAGTCATTTTAAAGAGGACGATATAATTAATGTTGGACATACCGGTATTACGAGAACAGCCCTTCTGAGTTTGTTTTTACCAGCACCAGGTAAGAAGCTAAAATTATATATTATAAAATCAGTCTTACTTGCATACAATTTGAATTATTTTGTAGGTGGTGGTTCAACAACTATCTTAAAAATCATCACCTTAGAGAGGGTTCGACATAAATTTCTACTGGTGTGCGCCTTTCAAAGTTGGATTAGATTAGCAGACCATGACTACACTATCATATGGAGAGGTCTTTGAGCTTGCCTGTTAAGTGCGAGGAGGGATCTGTGCTTTCTTGTGAGTGAGATTATTCTTAGAGTACCATATTACCATGGTTTGTCTCATCTATGTACTTTTAATGTTAAATTTTGTAGAACAACCTAAATCTAAATGTATTTAATATGTCTCTCAATAAATATATAAATATTAGTAGAAAAGAGTTACTGGTAACATAGAGTTTGGAAACTTAACTTTGTAAAATACTTCATGTTTTTATTGTAACTAGGTAATACTTTACATATTTTTTATTTTTAATGTTATTTTTCCATCTTTATAGTGCTGGATCTTAGAATCTTAGAGCTAACTGTTGGGTTTATAGGTTTAAATATGACTAAAAATATTATCATATAAATGTATATAAAGTTCTTTCTAGAACTAAATCATTTAATTTTTTTGTTTCCAACGTAGCAGAGTTCTGTCTTTCTGTGAGTAGAACGCCAGACAGTAAGAGTTCTCACTGACCGCTGGTAGTATGTGTTATTAGATTAGGATGTAAGTACTACAAAGAACTCAGAATGTCTGACGGCTGTCTGTTGCTTATTACGCTTTAATTTGACATTAGAATTAAAAAAAAAATATTTAATTACTGACAAGTTCTTGTCACAACATTTAGTAAATTATAAATTATACTACACTAAATTATACTACATTTTTCTGTCCCTATTTGTGAACAAAATATTGCAACTATCTTGGTTTATTTTTAGTTCCAGCTGATTTACAGCTAGATTGAAAATCTGAATTTTCCAATCTTGGTTCATTCATCAATCCAATCATCAGGTTTTTGAACAGGTAAATTTTCTGTCACATCTGGTATTGATTTAGTAGTGGAATTCTCTAATGTGTTATTTGGACTTTCATATTCATCATTATCATGATTCATTAATATAACAATTCAATAGAAAACTTCGTATATAGTACAGAGCTCCTGGTAAAGCAGTTTTTCATTTAGTGATGTCTAAATATTTGGTTTTCAATGCTAGATTCACCAATTTCCATATAACTCATTGTATCTTTCAACTTAACCATTTCCTTCATGGTTATATGGTGTTGTTCTACTTGAAATATTCCTTTAGAGTGTAGATAAATAATAAATTCTTGTGAAGTAAAGCTAGTTCTCCTTGTCAGATTTTATATATGCCAGCATTCTATATACAAATAATAGTGATTTAATCTGTGATTGGTTTGAATTGCTTTCCTACCAGATAATGGCTGCATTTTTTTAATACTTCAATGCATTTGCATTTTTTCAATTGAATCTAAATGTTTTCATTCAGAATCTGTGAGAGTATGTGTGAAAAAAGCAAATGGTTTTCCCCATTGATTGCTTCGCTTATGTAATTATAGAATAAATTTATTAAAAGCATGTACTTATCTTTGTCTTCTAGGGATTTATCTTTAGATTCATTGCTTTCTAAAAAAATCTTGAATGTTATATACCAATGTTTGAATTCTTTGCGAATTATGAGAATAAAATTGTAGTAAAATGCCTTTTGCACAATTAGGCTTTTATTCACATAAAACTTGACATACTAAGACAAAACAATTATTTAAATACTGACCAGTTCTTGCCAAATTAAGAAAACTAAATTATAGTACACTTGGCTTTTATTATTAATATTTCTTGTAACACATATAGGTAATAAAGATTTTATTCTATATTTTATTCTTTAATTTTTTTAACCACTTTGGCATTTTAATGTAATGTAAAATAAATATAGTCTCAACATAACAAGAAAACCCAAAAAGTATACGACAAATATTTATTATCGTATAGGATAAGGATTTTTCTTGTTATTTTAGGATTATATCGATTTTCCTTTACTTTAAAATGAGTTCACAATCCTAGGTAATATTACTAAACTTTTGAATTTCGCGCCATGCATATATAGTTAGGCGTCCGGTCACTAGGTGATGCGCCAATCATTGTTTTACTCGTCAACACGGAAGTTTCAATGCTAGGTGGTAGTGTGCTATGGGCCTGTTTGTGGATGTCATCTATCAATATGTTGTGGAAGTCAATGTCGTATTTCCACGATTTGTTTAGTGTAGGAAAGAATACTTTGAATAGCTAGATGAATTATCCATAACAGAATATGAAAAATATGATGAACTTAAGGAAAATACTGATCAAGAACGAACAGAGGAAAAACAACCTAATGAAAAAGAAACAATTGAGAAACTGAAGAAAATAAAGAGTCCAGAAAAGGGTGAAACGTTGCTGAAAGAAATATAGGAACAAGAAAGAAAGGCACATACAGAAAGAATGGACTGAAGCCACACTTGTGCCCAAATCACAAAAAAGGTGACAAAACTTTATGTCATAATTACAGGGAAAAGGCGCTACTAAAAGTTGTATATAAAATACTTGCAGTACATATCAAATATAAGATATAAAAAAAATAGATAATGACAGGGGAACATCAATGTGGATTCATAAGAGGACGTAGCACAATTTAGTGCTATGCTAGCTTAGGGTGTATCAAATTGTCCTGCTGCATGAAATACAAGCACAAAGCAAATACTATGGGAAATCTACAGTGATTCATCGACTTTAAATAAGCTTTTGACAGAGTAAATCGAAAGAAATGTACAATTAACTACGTAAAATGGGAAAACCGGAGAATACGGTTAAAGTAAATGGAAAAGAAATGATATAGTATTAATAGCTAAAGGTAAATCAGAATGAAAAGAAATACTAAAAAGACTAGAAGCAACAGCCAGAAAGAAATTTCTTCTAGAAAGAATGATGAAAGATTCGATGAAACGTCTCAAATTATTAAAGAAATAGCTAGACAAACTCCAAGGAGCTATCGAGTACGAACCTCTGAAGAGAGCGACGAACAAAACGATAAACTTTTGGAGGAAATCGTACGAAAAGTAGTTCGTAACACGATGCAGAATAAACGCGAAACCAGATGTTGGAATGGTGGTGCTGTAGGTCACATTCGCAAAATAATACAACTGTCAGAAAGCTAGAACAGATCGAACACCGCTCTGGAAAAAGTCATTCAAATGCTGATGCTCAGTCAAGACGGCCATGCAGTGCTAATTGTAATCACTGTCTTAAATTAGTAGAACGACTTTGCCCCGTGAGACGAACCACCGTCATTAATAATCAATGGCAGCCTCAACAGCTACAAGACGCTCAAGCAGAGGATCCGTGTATAAAAGGAGTATTGGATTGGACGCGTCGAAGTGAAAGACCTTCTTGACAAGACAGCGCATTTAGTCCAGAAGTCAAGTGTTACTGGAGCCAATGAAATTGCCTAGTGCTAAAAGACGATCTTCTGTATAGAGCCTTTGAGAATGATGATGGTATAGAATCGAAGCTTCAGTTGATTGTACCTAAAAGTAAAGTGTCAGAAGTATTACGTCAGTTAAATGACAGTGCTTCAGGTGGACACTTTGGTATTACGAAGACTCTGCAAAAGGTTCGAGAACGGTTCTATTGGGTGAACTGTAAAGATGATGTAAGAAGATGGTGCCGGGAATGTGAACTTTGTGCAACCAGTAATGGTCCAGTTGGTAAAAAGAGGGCACCTATGAAACAGTACAATGTTGGTAGTCCTACGGAAAGAGTAACAATCGACATTGCAAGTCCACTTCCGGAGACGAATGATGAAAATAAATATATCCTGGTAGCCACGGATTATTTTACGAAATGGGCTGAGGCCTATGCGATACCTAATCAAGAAGCTGCAACCGTTGCAGAGGTACTTTTTAAATAATTCCGTAGCCAATTTGGTGTTTCCTTGGAGATCCACTCCGACCAAGGGCGAAACTTCGAGTCAACCCTTTTCCAAAACGTTTGTAAATTGATTGGTGTCAATAAGACCAGAACAACACCCCTGCATCCTCAATCAGATGGAATGATCGAGAGGATGAACCGAACTATGAGTAAGTAAAGACCTGTCCAAAGTTGTAACAGAACATCAAAGAGATTGAGGACACGCACATTAATTTATTCCTAATGGCCTACCGCTAGGCCGTGAATGAAACTACAGGCCAGACTCCAACCTGCCTGATGTTAGGTCGTGAAGTTCGTTTGCTCTGCGACCTAGAGTTTGGCTGCAGACCTTCCGAAGAACATGTTGCAAGCGAAAATTATGTCGACCGCCTGAAGTTAAGAATGAACAACATTCATGAACTTGCCTAACAACACATAGAATTAGCCAGTGACAGAATGAAAGATCAATATAATTCTCGATGTAAAAATGAAAGCTTTGAAGTAGGTGGTCTTGTTTAGCTTTATAATCCACAACGTCGTCGAGGCTTGTCTCCTAAACTGCAAAGACAATGGAAATGTCTGTATGAAATTAAAAAGATAACAAATGACGTAATATACCGAATTAAGAAGTTGCCGAAAGGTAAACCAAAAGTAAAAATCGTTTTGCAACTTATGCTGACTCAAATGAAACAGAAGAAGCACGAACCCTTCAACATGAGATCAAAGATGAGCGGCCTTTAAAGACAGTAGACTGTTATTTCTTTGTGAGGGGTTCATGCAGAGCTGGAGAGTCCTGTAGATTCCGCCATCCTGGGCCTACATATAGAGTTGCCGATCGGGACGCTCAGATCTAAGAGGGGAGCAGTGTTTCGAACATGCATTCGACGTAGCCCATATAACGGTTGCATCTCGGGAAGTTTCCAGAGAAGTATCGAGCGCGAGAGAGATCGAACCGTCAAACAAACAAAATAGAGGTGGACTACTCAAAAATATTCTAGTACATAATAACTTTTATATATAAGTAGCTCCGATATTAGCAAAGTTTAGTTGATAAGATATATTCGTGCTATAAACTTATAAATAAATATATTTATATAAATTAAGAACCGCTCGTTTTATATAAAAACGGTACAATATGAAAAATAAACTGTATAATTTAGCTCATTCTTAGAGAGTTGGCAAAAAATCTATATTTCATAAAAAGTAAGAGAATTCTGTAATCTATTCGTTTCATACGATTCTGAGTAAAATACTCTTTCAACTAACAAGACAAAGATAAAAGATCTGAAATATTGAAAAAATATTAAACACATTTGCCTTTACTTACCTGCTTTTTCTGCTTGCGGCACCGGCTCGTTGGCGCTCTCCCTTGCATTTTGATACCTAGCGTTCACCACTTCTTCTTCTTTCTTCTCCGGTATAGCAACGACACCATCCGGTACCTTATTATCTTTACGGGCTGACACGGGTGTGAGCGTCGGCACCAAAATAGGCCTGGCTCCGTCTAAACTCGCTTGTGAAGGCTTCAGTACATTATTCGATGAAGTACTTGACGAAATTGCTTTGTTATCGTTGGCGTAGGGTTGAGCAAGTACAAATAGCGGTGCGTTTCGTGCGCCGGTGTCTGGTTCTTGATGCGCAATCTTCTCGTCTTTGTTTAATTCATTAGTTTCGAGAATATTGTTATTTTTGTTTGTGTCTTCAACTTGTAGGACTTTGGGTTCTGCCAAAGTTTCTTGATTGTTGCATTTTGCCTTAAAACAAATATACAAATAATACATTCTTTTCAGATGTCATAAAATTGTATCGTTTTTATATTTACCTTAAGATGTTCAACCTCATCCTTCAATTCCTTATTTTCCTTCTTTAACTTACTCAATTCTTCATCGTTGTTGTATTTGTTTTGATTTTCTTGAAGTTCTTTCGCTAGTTTTTCTTTTTCACTTTGTAGCTCAGTATACTGCGTCTATTAACAAAAATTACTTATTACTAAAATGTTGTGATACATTATATCAGTGGAAGTTTTACAACGGTGTCCTCCACACAATTATTTCAAATTTGAGGACAGAAAAGTACAACAAGGGACTAAATTGGACGAATATGGTGTGTAGTTGATCGATTTGTTTTCGAATTGATGTACTGTGTTGTTAGCTTAGATTAAGATATAGGCGCCGGAGTTAGGCAACACAGATGACAGGGATGTCATGAAAACGTAGCCGAAGCTCGGGCAAGGATGTATGTTTGAGGGTTGAGAATAAACTGATGTTGTGAAGTAACGATTATTATTTGTAACCCCTCTTTGATAACACGACATGGTGGCAGCTGGTGCTTTGTTTTGTTAACATTAAACAAGCAAAGAGTGGTCGAACGTGACAACAGTGCAAATCTTATGCATAACCTATAAATCAGAGGGGACCTAAAATCCTTAAAATGGATGCACCTATCCAAATAAATAAAGAAGTGTTTGCGAACATTTCGGCTCCAAGCGAATTTGATTTTACACAGCCCCAGACATGGCCCCAATGGAAGAAAAGAGTAGAGAGATATATGTCTGTAAGTGGATTTGGACAAAAATCTGACAAGGATAAATTAGACCTACTGTTGTATTTAATGGGAAATGAAGCAGAAGATATTTTACTTCAAAATCAACCAGTGGAGAATGCATCCTTTCAAGATGTAATGCAGATTTTCGACAATCATTTTATTCCCCGAAGAAATACAATCTTTGAGAGATTTCAATTTAATTCAAGGGTACAAAGGCCAGGAGAACCTGTGGGAAACTTTATTTCAAGTCTACATACTCTTGCAGAGCACTGTAGCTATGGAGCTCTTAAAGATGAGTTAATTCGTGACAGGATAGTTATCGGAATAGCTGATAAAAAGGTGAGCGAAAGAATGCAACTAAATGATGGTTTGACACTAGAGAAGGCAATACAAATAGCACGCCAAGCTGAACTTCAAGATAGTCAAAATAGAATTATGAGACAGGAGCAGTCAGTTAGTGCAGTTAAACAGGACTACAGGGAGCGTAGTGATAAAAGACATCAAGGTTACAGATGTGGATACTGTGGCATACCTACATGTAAAAATAGGGAGAAATGTCCAGCCAAGTTCTCTGAATGCAGATCTTGTTCACGTAGAGGTCATTGGAGTGTGATGTGCAGGATGAAAGCTGTCAGAGCTGTTAAGTGTTCAAGGTCCACCAGTAGCAGTAGTACAGATGACGAAGGAAGGGATTCAGTAAATCAAGTGGTACATACAGATTCCTTTATTGGCCAAGTGTACCTAGACAAGAAGGATCGTTGGTATGTAGACATCTTATTGGATGACAAATTTAAGGTACCTTTTTTTGTGGATACAGGAGCAGATGTTAACTGCTTTCCCTATGAAAAATTACCTCCAGAATATGTGGGTAAAATTGTGGCATGTGATGCAATTGGTGCAGCGGACGATCATAAATTGGACACAGTGGGTAAGCTACATATAAAATTTACTTATGACGGTTTTACAAATGATGAAACAATATATTGTATTAGGAAGTTGAGACAACCTATATTAAGCAGAGAGTCAATCATTAAGTTTAATGTTCTAAATTTTTCTAATTGTAAGCTTAAACAGGTAAATCAAATCAGTTGCAGTGTTGTTCATTGTAATCAATCTGAGAGTACTAATATGTTTTCAAAATTTAATTTAGAGTCTGTTGCTAAAACATTTCCTGGTATTTTTAGTGATATAGGTGAATTTAAAATGGAAATGTCAATTAGAATTAAGCCAGATGCTAAACCTTATGTACAGAGCGTTCCCAGAACTGTTCCTTTACCTCTGTTACCAAAATTAAGAATTGAAATTGATAGATTGCTAAAATTAGGAATAATTGAACCCATTGAAGATCCTACTTCTTGGGTCAGCCCAATTGTTTGTGTGGACAAGGGAGATTGTGTACGGCTTTGTGGTGACTATACTAAACTTAATGAAAACGTGTTACGGTCACATTTTCCTCTCGGGAAAATATCTCATACACTAGCACAGTTGAAAGGGTCTAAATTCTTCTCAAAATTGGATACCACAAGTGGGTTTTACCAAATAAAATTGAATAAGGAAAGTCAGTTGTTAACAACTTTTATAACACCTTTTGGCAGATTTTTCTTTAAAAGGCTTCCATTTGGTATATCTTGTGCCCCAGAGTATTTTACTATGAGATTTTCAAAAATCTTAACTGGCATTGAAGGCTGTGTTGTCCATATAGATGACATTCTTATTCATGCAAGGACAATAGAGGAACATGACAATATTTTGAACACAGTCCTAACAAAACTTCATAAGGAAGGTATTACACTAAATAAAAACAAATGCTCTATAGCAACAAAAACAGCTAAATACTTGGGTCATATGGTCTCTGAGCAAGGGATATTAATTGATCCAGATAGGGTTAAAGCTATCCGTGATTTTCCTGAACCAAAAAATAAGACTGAGCTGTCAAGATGGCTGGGTATGATTAATTTTGCTGCAAAATACATTCATAATAAATCTGAGATTCTTGAACCATTAACACACTTACTAAAAAAAAATATTAACTTTTTGTGGGGTCCAGCACAAGATAAAGCTTTCAGCACTTTAAAACAAAAGTTAGAGAGCCCTCCAAATCTAGCGTTTTTTGATGCTAATAAAACCATAATTGTTAGTGCAGACTCAAGTTGTTTTGGTATAGGTGCATGTCTATTTCAAGAAAATGTAGATCATACTCGGGAAATAGTGGCTTTTACATCTAGGCTTCTGAACTCAGCTGAAACACGATACGCTCAGATTGAGAAAGAAGCTCTTGCACTTACATGGGCAGCAGAATATTTTTATGATTTTATTTCAGGAGTTCCTAACCTAATTTTTGAAACAGACCATAAACCTTTACTACAAATTCTGCAAACTAAAAATTTAGATGAGTTAACGCCACGTTTGCAAAGATTTCGAATGCGTTTAATGCGATACAAGTATACTGTAATCTACACGCCGGGAAAAAATTTAATTGTAGCAGATACTTTAAGTCGGGCCCCTTTACAAACAGATACGTTAGCTAATAAAGAACTAACTGCAGAAACTGCAGCATATGTGCAGTCAATTATTCATAATTTACCAATTAAAGATTATTTTTTGAATTTAATAAAAACAGAACAAGAAAATGAATATATTTGTAAAAAACTAAAAGAATATTCTTTGTCTTCTTGGCCTGAAAGATCTAAATTGCCATTTGAATTGTTGCCATACTATCAATATAGATATGAAATTTCCTATTCGGAACAATTACTTTTAAAAGGGTCTCGCATAATCATTCCTAAGAGTCTTCAACTCAAGGTGTTGGAATTTATTCATACAGGCCATATGGGAATTGTAAAATGTCGAGATCGTGCCAAACAGAGCGTTTGGTGGCTGGGTTTGTCATCCCAGATTAATAACCTTGTCACACATTGTCCCCAATGTGTTGAACACAGAGTAAATCATAGAGAAACATTTCATAAAGACAATACTGTACAAAGGCCGTGGCAAAAACTGGGGGTTGATTTGTTTAAATGTTATGATAAGTGGTATTTGATTGCCACTGACTACTTTTCACATTGGTTTGAAATTTTTACTTTAACCAATATGACAGAAGATGCCATTATTCCTAAGCTTAAAGATATTTTCTCTCGTTATGGTATCCCAGAGGAAGTTAGATCCGACTGTGGTACTCAATTTTCATCAAAATTTATAAAGTTTTCAAAAGAATATAATTTTGTTCATACGACGAGCAGTCCGCACTGGCCTCAGAGCAACGGTGGAGTGGAACGCACTGTACAAATTGCAAAAAGATTAATTCAGAAAAATAAAAAAGAGGACCTAAGTTTGGCATTGTTAGCATATAGATGTACACCCCTAGAATGTGGTGTTTCACCTTCTGAATTATTAATGAATAGAAAATTAAGATCTAACTTACCCCAGTTTCCAAGCTTATTAAACTTTTCAAAAGAACCAAACACTAAAAATAAAAAGAATGAAATAAAGGATAAACAAGTGAAAAACTACAATAAGCGACACAATGCCAAGGATTTAGATCCTCTTAAGGTTGGTGATTCTGTGTGGGTGGTTGATATCAGGAAATATGGGCGAGTTGTTGCGATCTGTCAGGAACCCAGGTCCTATATAATTGAAACTGAAACCGGGAAATTTAGAAGAAATAGATGGCATTTGATTCATGCACCCTACTGTTTCCCTGTATTGAGCACCCAACCAGAATCCTCAAATGATTATGTTCCGCCAATTTCTAGTAACACAAAGCTAATGCCTTGCTCTAATCAAAGCAATGGTGACATACAGGGTAAAATAATGGAGGAAAGTAGTAGGGGGGAACCCAGTGTATTTCAGGACAAAATCGAACAAAGTGGAAATCATGTTTTACCTCCATCGGGTCAGGATAAAAGCGATAGTGTATCGGACTTTGAGTGCGTAAAGCCTAGCAGGCCAAAAAGACTTGTGAAGAAACCGGTTCATTTAACAGATTATGTTTGTAGTAGTTTAAGTTAGTTTAGGTATAAGATCATTAATGACACAGGGATCTTTTATAAAAAAAAGGAGATGTGTTGTTAGCTTAGATTAAGATATAGGCGCCGGAGTTAGGCAACACAGATGACAGGGATGTCATGAAAACGTAGCCGAAGCTCGGGCAAGGATGTATGTTTGAGGGTTGAGAATAAACTGATGTTGTGAAGTAACGATTATTATTTGTAACCCCTCTTTGATAACACGACATGTACTTTTACCACTTTGTTGACCAATGTATTGACGAGATCAAAGAAAATGTTTTTTCAATCCATACTACAGATTGTCTCAAAGTGACTTTTCTGTACAGGGTAAATTCACAACATCAATGCCATACTTCTTTGCAAACTTGTATTAAAATAAACGTCACTTCTTACTACTTAGCCTAATCCATCTTTTGTGCTGAGGGTAGCTTAAGTACTAATGCCCACTAACGACCCTGCCTGGCTTCCTTCTGTCAGTGGTTCTCAAACAAATAATATTTGCTACAACATACTGTTGGTATGACAATTCTATATTGTACATTTTTATGTTAAGTGTTGGCATTACCTGCAAATGACAAGTGTCAACGTCAAGAAGTAGAATTAAGACATTAATGTAAACAACAATTTATGTTAGAATAAAAACGTTTATTTTTGTCAACGTATTGTTTTAGTATTCCATCTATAAGCAGGACTTTTTCCATCACGCATCCCTAAACATACTTGGGTTAAATTTAGTTTCTTTTTCTGTCAATCGCTGTCACATTTAGTTTCTGCTTGAAGCTTGAAGCTTTTAATCCTGTTGTCAGACTCCGAACAAGAGCATCGCGATGAGATGTAATTGTTTTATCAACCCATTCTTTTTTCACACTGTGCCCGATATTTACCCATGATTCATCCAAATACACTAGGTTGTATCCTTCTGCACGGTGTTTACGAATTACGTGTAAATAACGATGACGCCACGAGATGATTTCTGGTTTTTCAATCAAAATTGAATTTCTGCCACGTTTTATAAACACAAAATCCATATCACTCAGCAAGCGGTGTAGCGTGGCCCGTGAAAAGTTGGACAAAGTTCCTTCGACATTTACAACAGTTAATATGGTGTTTATTGTTGGTGATATGTTGTCACAAAAAAATTGATGAACTATTCTACGAATTTGGCCCCTGACACCTTCATCGTATTTGATATCACGAGAATTACCAACCTTTCGCTTCTAGGGCCTGCTCTTTGGACATTGTAATCCAGCAGGTGATGAATATTTCTGTCGTATGCGAAACAGAGTCTTTTCGCAAACACCACTCATTTCTGACACTTTCCTAATTACACTTGATACAGAATCGTTGTTATTCTGATTAAGATGATCATTAATAATATTCATTAATATCTGCTTCTCTGAAAGTTTCAGAGCTTTTTCACGTTTCCATTGAACAATTTCCTCCATTTTGCGGTAAAAATTCGGCGTCAAATATAACAATAGCCAACAACAGAAAAAAACAATAATTGCCAACAGCAAATCACAACAACAGCCACCAACAAATAATAACAGTAACAAAACAGTAACAGTACATCCAAGATGGTCGTAACTCGAATATGTTTACGCGCTCTGAAGAACAAATAAAGACTAATTAAGGCCCTGAATGTATCAATATTGTAAACATATTCTGTACAAGAATTACTTTATTTGCTTCTAAATTACTGAATAACTGAGAAAAAAGTATTTTGAAAAACTTTGAAACAAATTTTTATTTAATGCACATTTTATTATACTACTGCCACTAATAAAAGATAAAGTTGAAAGTTACTATTAGAAACAAATAATGTATAGTGTTATGTAAAATTATTAACAAACGGTATTTGTAAATTACATAAAATTGTATGTGAGGACTTGTTGAGAACTCCTGGTTTATTCCGTTTATTTTGAAAGATAGATAATAGAGAACGCCATCGCTCACTGCATAAAACTGGCAATGTCTTGGCGAAATTCCCATAAGGTTAGCATTGCATATCTTCCCTGTACGGACCAGTTACTTTGAGACAAAGTATAGGATGTTTTTTACTTAAATTGGAGTTGAAACTATGTAATACAACTGCATATTATATTTCAGTTATTGTTGAATCCTTTTCCAAGTAATTAATTTGAGTAATTCTGTTCATACTCCAAAAAACAGATATCACTATTTTGACCTTTCTTGGCGGCTTTGCTGTTTTTGCTTCACTATTTTGACAGTTTCTTCATTTCTAATGTGTAAAAATACAAGTTTCACAACAGTCACTTACAAGTGCAAACATCTGTAGAATTTAGTTTAATCAATGGCAAAAAATATTTTGAACATAATATGACTCCCAAATTTTCGCAAACTCCCAGATTTTCATTCCTAAATATTCATGCTATAGGTACACAAAAAATTTGAAATAATAAATAATTTATTTTTGGACAAAGTAGTTATCAAATTTTACCTTAAGACTTTCTTTAGATGACCGAATTTTCTTCTGCTCTTCTAACAGTTCACTTATTCTTGCTTCCAAATTGTTTATCTCTTCTTGCTGCTGTTTCTGGGCTTTGTCAGTCTCTTCTTTGTAGTCATCATATTGAGTCTATACATTCAATTAAAAGAAACTTACAGTAACATCAACTTTGGTTTGGGGAAATATATTATAAAATTATGAGGAGAAATGGCTCATGAGAGAAAGAACAAAAATGGATGTATTACTCAAGAAGTAACAAGAAAAATAATTTGCAAAGGCAAATGACAACATGGGGCAATGATAATATAAATTTATAAGATTCTATGACCCACATACCTGCAATAAGTTCAAATGCTGTTGAACAGACTCTAATTTATGTTTCATATCGTTGGCTTCATTTTCATATTTACTTCTTTCTTCCTTCAGTCGATTTTCTAGGTTAGCTTTTGTCTGTACATGATCAGCTTGTTCTGTTTTCAGAGTTTTTTCTAATCTTTGTTTATAATCAGATATCACTAAAATATATTACATAAAATAGTTTTATTTAATGTAGAGATTATAATACTTTATAGTACATTATTATGGTATAAAAGAACACTATCAGTCACAGTTGGTAGTCATTCTAACATTAGTCTAATTGATCTAGATATGTACCAAAAATTACATAATTAGACTTCAAACCAAATTCTTTTTTCAATGTGTCATAGTTTATCAAATTCTCTTTAAAACATTAAAACTCAAACCCTTCCAGCATGTTATCATTCATACCCTCTAAGAAAAACTGAAAGATCTAGATTAAATTAACATTTCTATGATAGTGTTGAAAGAAACCATGGACATATAAATAAAGATCTTTAAAGATATCTTTATTTATATGTCCATGAAAGAAACGCACTGTACGAGGCCATGATAGAATTCAGCATCCCAGGACACTTAGTAAAATTGGTGAAAGCGACCCTCTCAAGAGTCAAGTGTAAAGTTAGTGCAGAATGGAATTTCCAGAATATTCCAGTCTCAGATAGGACTTAGACAAGGAGACAGCCTCCTACTGTCGGATGGAATCATCATCATCAATGGTGCTACAGCCCTATGAAAGAGCCTCGACCTTCCCAAGTCTATAACGCCAGGCAGTCCTATCCATTGCCAACCGTTGCCAGTTTGCTGCGCCTATCTTTCTACCATCCTCATCTACACCATCCTTCCATCTGAGTTTTGGCCTACCCCTTTTTCTGCTTCCCACGGGTTGTGACATAAGGATTCTTCTAGGAGGGTTGTTCTGCTGTGATCTTGCTAGATGTCCTGCCCATCTTAATCTTCCTATTCTTATAAGAGATACTACGTCTTTACCACCAAATATTTGTTTATATCTGTGGTATACCTCGTAGTTGTATCTCCTCCTCCAAACACCATTTTCACAGATGCCACCAAATATTCCTCTCAGGATCCTTCATTCAAATATAAGCAAAAGGTCTTCGTCTGCCTTGGAGATGGTCCATGTCTCCAATCCATATGTCAACATTGGCTGTATAAGGGTTTTGTATGTAGTTATTTTTGTTTTTTGGCTTAAGTTTCTACTTCTCATATGTCTACTCAGTCCAAAATAGCATCTGTTTGCCATTACTATCCTTCGCTTGATTTCTTCCGTTATGGCGTTCTCTTTGGTGATCAGGGAGCCTAAGTATGTGAATTTGTCAACCACTTCAAAGGTAGAGTTATCAACCGTGAATTGGGGACCGATGTTCCTGGCCCTATTGTTAGGACTTAGACAAGGAGACAGCCTCCTACTGTCGGATGAAATATTAAAATTTATTTTCTTCAAAATACCTCGACAATCTATCTAATTACGTAATATTTTATATAAAAAAAAAACACTGCTGTCCCATCCCTTCTTAACTCCTGATATTTTTAATATATATGACTATACATATCAAAGAACAGAACTTTTTATAAATACAATATAAACTTTTGATTTGTTTTTACTCCAAATTACAGTAAAAGTGTTAAAAGCAATAACCCTTTTATATTTGACTGATTACGATTCTGGCAACTGTCAGATTTAACTAAAATGTCATGCAATGGTTCTCTACATTCTTAAAATCCTATAAAGACCTTAAAATTAATGACGCATCAAAAGAAGAGTTTGGTTTGAACTTTACATTAACATATGAAAAGTTTTACCCTAAAAAAAATATAACAAAGGAAAATATTACTTTTATATCACCTTTCAAAAATTGTCCAGGCTCAATTAATAAATGCATTGAAATTTTCCATTGTTTTTTGTCTTTATTATTATTTAAATAGGTAAGTAAACCTATTATACAATAACAATTAAAATTAAACTAATCAACAAAGCAATATAAATAATAATATTTAAATATCCTATTGTAAATTAACAAACAATAGGTAACAAAGAAATGAATGATTTACATAAAACATTTTTATAGAGCAAACAATTGAAAATTTTTTAATTTTCCTGACAATTCTGGATTAAAAAAGTACAAAATTAGAAATTTTCTTTTATCTGTTTTGATCCTATATATGCTACTTTCCAGATATTCGGATAAAAGGGAATCTATAAGCTAATTTGAGCCACATGATCATATAGCAATAATATATAAAATATACAGTTAAAAATTGAAAATTACCATTTCATAATTTTTTTATTTAACAGGTATCCTGTGAATGCCTGTATTCTTGACTTTTTTTTATTTGTTGTTAAATCCAATTTCTAACAGTCACTGACTCTGATTATATTTTTAATTAAAAACTAAATAAAACAAATATTGCATTTATTCTCATATAACGATAATTATAATCTATGTTAATGTAGATTTAAATTAAAAACATTTGTTTATATATTTATTTACATTTATGAATTATAATATACATTAAGGATATTTGGTTAGGAATTTAAAATGGAATTATCTACATAATACATTATATAAACTGGACATTATTATTATTTTACCTTGCAACTGTGTCGAAAGATTCTCTTCTTGCTGGTGGCAAATGAAGTTAGATTTTTTAACATCGTCTAAATGGGAAAGTGTATTATTATAACAAGCTATTATTCCTACAATGATCAATATACCACAAAGGTACAAGAAAACTTTGGCTCTCGTGCCTCGAATAACCCTAGAAGTGGTCATTACATTTATTTAATTGGTCCTTTTTCACTTTCACTTATTTTATATCCTAACAAAAATTCGAGTTGTTGGCAAAGCAAAGTTGGCAAAAAATGTTTTTATGTCAAATTAAGACACTGACACAGTTTTGAGCACAAATGTCAAAATATTCTTCATAATCATATCGTCCCTACACTTTGTAAGCTGTACATCTATGATATAATAAGGAAAGACAAAAATCAAAATTGTTTTATTTTCTAATTTTAATGTATAATAATTTCCTAAATAATTTATAATTGGTGAGATTTTAGAAAATGTCCTGATAGAGGAGTTTCATCAGAATATCCTGCCATTTCTTGTGGTATTACAGCACTTTCTTCCACTCCTGTACAAGGTCTGCACATGCACTCCAGAGGTGCTTTGGTAGTAACCTTAAAATAAAAAATAAGGGAACATTTTTTACGAAGAGACTATTTCGAATAAAATTTTTCAAAATAAAATAGAAATTTTTGGGCGACATCTAAAATTAAATAGGTAAAAGTCATAATGTAGCGATCGTTTGTCAAATGACATATTCTGACAGTTGACAATTTTTATTGAATTTTTGCTTAAAGGGCAAGCTGTTCAAGGTTGATTTTCCAATGCTTTTGTAATTCTGCTCAATTACTAAATTTTTGACAGAAAGTAAGTGATTGATCGTAGTGATCGTGTTTACGTTGATTGTGACTTGAATTTCCTCCATTTAAGAGATTAATAGTAAGTACTTTCTTTGCTATAGATAGTAGTTTTAGAATTCAAGAATTGTTTTGTTTTATAAAATGTATAAATGTACCTTTATGAATTTTCGTTCCCCTGGTTTAGCTTTTGGACAAAACAATGAAACTGAAGCTTCTCGTTCACCTGATTCTTGGCAACACATGCAGGATCTTTCCATTTGCCAAATTTTACTGCCAGAAACCTAGAAACACATGTGGAATTTACAAAAGATAGTGTACATTTTATTTAGATCATTTTTTTGTTATTTAAAGCATTTGCATATTTGCTATGATTATATTGGTTCATTAATTATCCAGTCCAAATAATTTATTTTCTATATTTCTAATAAGTAGTATTTTCACATTTTGTGTAGACAATGATTGTCATTACAATTTAGAAAAAAGGCAACTTCAACTTGATTATTTAATATTTCTGAACAAAATTCTTCTTTATAAAGATCTATTTACCTGCAAATAGGAAGCACACCTTCCTATGCAAGCAAAGCTGGGTATAGGCTTTGGTACACAGCCTGGGTATTGTAGAACATGTATCACAGGTGTCACTTGACATTCATCTGTTGCACTAGCTGCATCTGCTTGGGACTTCACAGCTCGTAGTCTAGGATCGATGCATATATTTTCCAAAATTATTAATAGTAGAAATAGATTCCATATCCTATTTGTGACTGCAATAAAGGTTTATATGAAATATTTAACAAGTAATGACAATTTTTCTTAGTATTATTAAAGTTCTCGAAATAAATGCAATAGACATATTATGGCAATATTGCAAAAATCAATATTAATAAGAAAATGTTAATACAACTGGGTAATCTTCTTTAATTTAAGGTAAGTAGGAACCATACAAAGTTTAATCGAAAAGTGACATTTTTACTAGTACACATTAATCTTGTAATGAATTGATACAATTTTGAGCTCAATAATACTTTTGAAGCCTGCATAATTTAGAATCTATATTTACCTAGTAAAACAATTTTCAAAAACATTTCCTAACAATTTACACTAACACAAGAGCAGAACAAACAAACTACTGCCGGTTTTTTTAGTCCCCAGCCCTTTTTATAAAATGTCCCTTTACTAGATTGTTTTTCTCTAAAGAGCTGTTAGCTATTTTCGCTTTTTGCTGTCTCAGTGCTGTACTAGAGAGAGATTCTCAGGGGTTGGATTTATAAAAAAAATCGTGTATATATGTATTTGATGGCAGTGTCTCATATTATTAGTAACATTTTATGCTGGTAAATATCCTATAGAAATAACAGTACCTATTTTCTGTAAAGGCTGCCTGAAACTTTTTTATTCAAAAGAAGAACTACAGAAAAATCTAAATACCTTTTATATCACTGGAAAACTTTATTTTACTCAGAAAACTTCAAATATTACTATATGAAACACTCCCAAAGTGTCTTAGAAATTGAAAAAGTGACCATGTTAGGTGAATGGCAAATTTTGATCATACTTTATGTTTTTCCAGTCAAATGACTTACATTTATATTGATATTTTATCAAAGAAAATAACCTGTTAGAAAAAGCAATAAAGATAGTTTTTGTATGTATTAAACACACTTGTTTTACAATTTGTATCACCAATTCAATGACTAAAACCACTAATGGGTTTCTTGCATCATAGGGGGTTCCCTGTTTACTGGTGCAGTGCTTTTGACATACTGTAAAACAGGATAGTCAAATTTTTAGTTTAATAAGTGAAACCAGGATAGCTGAGCTTTAACTGTCTTTGAAAAATTATATTGCATAAAACCAGGATCTCTCAATCATTTCTCATTTCATTTAGCAAGCTGTCAAAGTTTATAGTATAACAATATAAAGATTTAAGAACATGAGCAGTGATATAGTTTATGATGAAACCCTTCCTAGGAAGAAAAGTTTAAAATATGAACAGAAATTGACTTGTTGTTAAACTTTGACAGATTCAGAGGCTGGTTGAAGAAGTGCTAAAGTTAATCTCATATTTTTCTTAGTTCACTTGTAACTATTACAGAAAATGTGGAATCCATGAGCTACTGCATCATAAAAGTTCTGTAAAACACCTCAACAACTGTGAAAAGTTAGTAAAACAACCAACTACCAACTTCTACTTTGAAATTACTATATCCAAAACATGCAGTAAAAAAAGTTGAAGCAAATATGGATAGTTTTATTGCTAAGCACAACTTACTTTTCAATATCGCTTCCCATTTGACAAAACTAATATGCACAGTGTGTCCAGATTCAAAAATAAATAAGGAGCTATTAATGAGTAGAACAAAGCTAGAATGATTATTGTAAATATAACAGGAGAAACAGTGGAAGAAAACCTGAGAGAGAAAAATTTCTGATACCTGCCAACAGCATTACATGGTAAAATCATTGTCAATATTTTACTGAGATAGGCATACCTTACAAATCCACATGTTAGGATTAGCATCTGATGCTGTTATGTTCAGAGGCAATCATTTGTTGGTTACACTATTGAAAAGTGACATAAAACATCTTTTTACAATAAAGTGCATATGTCAAATATAAGAAGATCTAAATACACTGTCCCAAGTGTTGGCTGCCCAATTCGAGAAATATCTGCCCAAAGCTGATTCTTTGAAACAAAAAAATTAAGGATGCCCAAAGTGTTACAATTGTGGATTTGTAGGCTACCTTCATACATGTTATATTGCAGTATAGAATATTACAACTGATCCTTAAAGGCAGAATAGAAGGCCATATAGGTGTAGGAAAAAAAACAGGATTTTTGGTTAAAAACATTCGTGAATGGAGTGAGATATCAAATGCAGGACAATTATTCCATGTCAGATAACTCTGATATTGCACTCGAAGAAGAAGGACACATTCAATGTGATTGCAGACATCATACAAGATCCACAGCAGCAACCCAATCTTCACAGCAGCAATGCAATTCGGAAAACTAAAAGAAGCCATTATCCAGGGGCGCACATTGGCTACCCTGCAAATCTCTGAGAAAAGCAGAAAGAAACTACTGTGCCACCAAAAAGAAGTTATTGTGGTCGCCAAAGCCGTAGAACAGTACCATTCGTTCCTATATGGCAGAATATTATTTTGAAATTCGCCACCGAGAGGGAAGAAGTCATGGAAATGCCTACAGTCTCTCGAGAAGACCATGCAGAGGCACTGCCGATTCTGTGACTTCCAGGAAGAACGAGAGTGTCGATTCTACAGTTGAAAACCATAGAGGACAGAAGTGACGAAGAATCTCTAGCCAAAGAAAACCTCAAGGCTGAACAGAAGAAAGATCCAAATCTAAAAATAGTCAGTGAGTGACTGTACAACGGAGCTAGGCCACAGTGGCAGGAATTTGCCAAATATGGGCATGCAGTGAAGGGCTATTGTCTTGAGTGGGACTTCTTGTGTTTACGAGATGATGTGCCTCAAGTTCTTCCATTACTCCATTATAGCTGCCACAATGTGAACAACAATACATCATCGGAACTCTATAGGAATGAGTTGCTGTTGACATTCTGAGACCATTTCCAGTAACAACATCAAAAAACAAGTATTTGATGGTTATGATAGCTATGGACTATTTTTTAAAACGGCCAGAAGCACCCAAGAAGCAATCACAGTTGGTGAGATCCAGATTAAGAATGTTGTTTCCTGAAATGGGGTTCCACTTTTGCTTCGTTCTGGTCAGGGTCGCAAGTTCGAATCAGAACTTTGGAAGACCATGATGGCTTTGCTAGAATTAAAAAGACCAGAACGATACCGGTTCATCCTCAGTTCGAAGGCATGCTAAAAAGACATAGCCGGACCATCAACAACTATGTGTCTCTGTTTGTACATGAAAATCAGAGAGACTGAGGCAAACTGGTGCTTCTGTTTCTGCTAGCCTACCGAAGCTCCCAACATGAAGCAACTGGTTACACTCCAGCAATGTTATTGATTGGTTGAGAAATGAAGCTTCCCGTCGATCTCCTCCATGTCAATCTACCAGAGGCGGACCAGGACTCCCCGAGTATATCAGCGGCCTAAAGGATCGACTGGTTAATATACATGGTTAAGCTATAACTCACCAGTGACCAGATAAAGGTTAGATTCGATCAGAAATCCACTTCTGTTAATCTCAAGGAAGATGATGCAGTTTGGCTGTGCCAACCAACCAGAAGGAAAAATCTAAGTCCTAAGTTGAGCAGCTCTGGGTGGGACCTTAAATGGTTACAAAGAAGAAAAATGATTTTGTATATAGGATGCAACAAGAAGTAAGCCGAAGATCGTCCACCTGGAGAGAATGCGTCCTTAAGAAGGGACCAATCCACCGACCTGTTCCACTAGGTACTTTTCGGGGCGAATCGCCTGAAAGAAGGGAGCGATGTTATGAGTCACAACAGTCAAATTAACGAATAAACGAATTAACCACTTTGTCAGCAAAGTTCTCCAACTCCTTATCTACATTTTTCTAGAATCTGGTGTAAAATGTAACACTATTTATTAATTATATCATGTTGGACAAAAGATTTGATGTTTCGAAATGACTATTTTACTGTTTTCTGCTGTTTTAAAACTTTCATTTGCTGCTTTTTTGCTTTCCCGTGGTTGGCAAAACTGTTTATCAGGAAACAATTGTCGCTCTGCATAACGCTTAATTGTGGGCGTTGATGCAGAATGTGCGAAATGTGTGTAGGCTAGTGCGAAATACGATTTTGAACTCTGTGTATTTTCTTGAAATATAATATTAGTATTACTCGCTAATATTGTAATACTGACTTTACAATCGTGCCATATCTTCGTTACATCACTGTCACGGTTGTTCGTTCATTTTCTCTTTGACATCATCGCCAAAAATCCCTTTGTGTGCCTTATAGTTTTTTCCCTTTTTTTTTTCACCGGAGTTCACTATCATAGTTATGTTGATCCATTTAGCTTTGATATTGCTCTTCTGTATGTCTCTGAATCTTATTGCGTGGTTTTACTTATCTTTGTTCAAAATTAACAATAAGTACGATAAAAAACTCTTCTAAGCGTTTCTGTATATTTGCCTCATTTAATTTATTTCTCGGTGGCGATATTTTTGTTTTATTTGTATAATGTTTAGTCAAAGAAATAGACCTATACGTAAGTGTTTTACAGCCAGTTATAAATAATAAGATTTACTTATTTGCTATATCATAACGATAATGCATAAGTTTATCTCGGGTTTTTTCCAATCATAATTTCACTTTTCAAAATAAAAATAATCCAAACCATCTCTAGACGGTAAATAACACTATTATACTATCCGGCAATTTGGAAAAATTGTGTATCGAATTACAATTATGTATATCGAATTGGTTATGAAAATCTGGGGTTTTATTCATTTAAAAATGTATTTAATTCTCTATTTTGTCGCTCGATTCGATTCATTTTGCCTTTCCTAGCCAGTGAATCGCATAGTACCGCATATTAAATTACTATTTGACTGGGAATAAGCCACAATTAAAGATAAAAATACGTTTATTGACGTTTCAATTTCCACTTCGGAAATCGTTCTCAAAATGCAAACGTCATTGGAAACTGGGAAATTGAAACGTCAATAAACGTATTTTTATCTTTAATTGTGGCTTCTTCCCAGTTAAATAGTAATTAATTTACAATGCCACAAGAAAATAGCTTCAGAACAATATTATATATTTAATTAGCCGCTATATATAACTTGGTTTAATTTAAATAATAATACCTCACATAATCATTCTGCGCCACTGCTCATTTGCTTGACACTTAGTTGGTTATTTTTTCTTTGTCTTACGTTTTATTAGAAATGTATGTTTTCTACTATACCCCTCGGTGGTTGCTAGTGTCGATGTAATGGTGTAGCTGGTGTTCGTGACCGGCGGGGGTATTGTTTTGGGGTCGGCGAAGTTGATTCTTAATGCTAAGAAATGTTTTAAATATTTTTATAAGAATAGGAGATATTTGAAGCAAAAGTTAGTCAATTAAGACTTACAAAATTAAGTTTCTTTGTAAATTATAACATATATACATCATA